TCTGCAGCCTGTCAAACCTGTTGTGGTTTAAAGAATTGTTGTTTTGTTTGTTTGTTTTTAACACTGGTTTTATTCACGTTGGTGTTCCGAATATATTCTAAAGTGAGATAAACTGGCTTCTCTTAAACGGTACCACATGGCAGGCCACTCATTTTTTACTACTGAGCGCTGTCACATTCAAAAGTGGTAGTCACGGATCACTTGCTGATTCAAATCCTCGAGGACTTAAAGTCAATGGCGACATATCCTGTCCAGTTTTTCCCTAAGAGACGTTGTTACATCACTGCTCAATTAAACGGCAGGTAGTAGACACGTCACTGTTCTGTACAACCACTGTGCATGAGGTGAAAAACTCAAAAGTTCATTATTTGCTACAGAAATTACGATCTCCCACCAGTGAACAAAGCTCCACTGGTGAAGTCAGTACTTTACAGCAGAGTACCCTCAGTCCTGGATTTCTATCTCCAAACCACACTCTCGTGGTGTTTATCAGTAACATGCAGTTACTTAAAATGTAAATTAGCTGCAAAACATTAAATCACTGCAGGAATTACAGTGATTATTTACATTTCTGCTTAGATATTTAACTTCAATCATCTAAACTCAGTGTCTTCAATTTTTTGGCTGCTTATGTCTGTCTTATCTCCTTTTGCTTATCTTGAAGAAAGTTGTATGCCTGGAAATATGTTTTCTTTATTAGTAGGTATCCTCAAATGAAGTGGCGTCCACCTCAGCACCTGCCTCTAACGGGAACCACCTCCATATTTCACACAGCTGACATCACTCTTATCCTTGAAGGGGGTGTATGTTTAGTTGTTTCCAAAGGGTTTCTGTTTGTTGTTGTCTGTCAAGCTCAAATTTGGGGCTTTCAAACACATCACACTGACCACAGTGCACGGTGGTAGAAGAGCATGTTCTCTTCTACCAGTTTCATTGTCAGATCGCTAAGGTCTTGACCTCAGCCTCCCTCAGTGCGGCCACTGCGGCAGGTGTAACAACCCAGTTTCTTCCCTGTAGTAACAAGTTGTTGCTGGTCTACATTCTCACTTGGTGAGGATTTAGACACCATTTATACACATTCCTGTGACTGTCACTGCTTAATGCAGGCGTCAAAGAGGATGAGAACGTAATGGTTGTGTGGTGGACCTGGACAAGGAGTTCAGTCCTCTGCTTAGTGTCATCCTGTCACTAATTTCCTGTGTGTCTCTCTCCTTCTCGTGGGTTTATTCCCTCTGCTGACAGAGAAGGCAGCTGCAGCATTCTGCTGATATAGGTAAGTCCTTTTACACACGGTGCCACTTCCAGTGTTGAGAGTTGAAGCTTGAGACCTTGGTTTCCATGCTTCATGTCACGTGTGGTGGCATGTTCACCACTCAGTGAGGCTCACAACCTCAGAGATTTGAGGATGGGGGTGGTGAGTCTTATGTGGTGCAGTCTACTGTTTTGGTCTTTGGAGATCACTGCAAAAGTATTCACGCAAAACATTTCCTGCATAAAGGTTTCCTATTTAGAAGTCCAGTTTTCGGAATGGTTTTTGGAAGTTTTCTAAATAATTTTAATAACAATCCAACCCAGTCTCATTAAGATGTTGCTACACTGAAGAGCAGCACCATTATCCTTAAAAGCGGACGACACATGGCTTATGCTACCATGCATCTGCACTGGTTACTAATTAAGTTTTAATGCACTTGTTTCTTTTTAATACTGCTGAATGCAATATCAATTTTTTTTACCAGTTGCCTGTGTTACACTGGCTTGACTTGCATTCAGCTTTTTTTTCTTAGACATATACTTTGCCTGCTTAGCAGAATTCTTTTGTTTTTAAATTATGTGTTAATTGTATCGTGCGTTTGCAAGAGGACTGCTTTGGTGAATGCAACACAGAAGTTACCGCTCTGCGGCTGCGCACGGTGAGAAGCAGTGCATCACAGGATGTGTTGTTCTGCAGCTCAGTTTGGGCCTAAATGGGGGTTAACTTAGAGCTCCTGTTATTTTTTGTTTGTTTGTTTTTTCTCCCAAGCTCACATGGGAAGTTTGGGTCGATCCATCCATGTAAAATCTGGAATAAATTCCAGTCCATTAAACATTGCAGGTTGTGAAACAGTACAGTATAATTGCAATTAGTTTTTTACTAGTTTGCAGGATATAAGTCTTGTTTTAGTTATAAATTCAGCCTCTACTTAATGCTGACCACTATTATGTTTTCCCAGTTTTCTCCAAAGGATCTTCTATCCATACTGTGCCCTCGCTCAACAAAATCTTGAAGGGTATCACAGACTGTGTGATTGGTAAGCAGCATAGGGATTTTCCTTACATCTATCTACTTTACCTCCTCTCCTTCTTGCATAAAGAAGTGAATAATCAATAATCATTGTGTCTGCAGGCCTTCAGTATGTGTGGGAGTACCGCAGCCCCAGTAAATCTGTCCCTCCACACTACCAGTGCAAACTGTGCGCCATGGCCAGCTTGCAGCATGACATTGTTGACCATGTGAAAGGCTGGAAACACTGCTATAGATACATGGTGAGTGTTGTCTGTTTCAAAGTCTGCACTCGAGGTTGCAGAATCATTTGCACTGTTTTATTCTGCTTTTCACACAGAAAAAGACCCACCCTGACAAGATTACGCATGAGGAGGAAGATGCCGTGAAAGACCCTGCTATCAGAAAATCCATTAAAGAAGCTGCGGCTGAAGTTGAAAAGACGGAGGGGAGGGGACAAATCAAGGTGAGCGGTACACCTGTGATAGTTCAGTTTTTATGTTATGTGTAATGTTGGTCTGCTGAATTGGTGTTTTTGCTCTGGGATTTTTACTTTTCTCTTACTAGACACAAGTTCAAATTCAGTCTCCAAGGTACTGCCAGATAACTTTATCTTTGTTTGGTCCCCATAAAACTTTTACATTGCAGATGGGGCTAAAAGTCTCCCATGTTTACATTCGACGGGTGGGTGCACTTAACAATATGTTGGATTTGATCATTTTTCTGTTCCCGTTGTCACGTTTAGGTGATCCTCAGGGAGCCCTTTGACATTCCTGCTTTTAAAGGACTACGTAAGTTATTCTGCTCTGTTTGCATCCAATGTTTTTAAGTTCTCAAAAACTAAGATCAGCTTCTCAGTTTAAAAAATAAATAACATTTTTTCCTACTTAGCTGGGGTCAAAGCTTAGCTTAGCATTCAACAACACTAAAGGATTTCCATTCTTTCGCATTAGTTGTTAATTTCACACATCCTTCCATCACAGGCTCTGCTATTCCTAAAGCCGGGCCTTCACCAGCTCCAGCAATGGGACAAATGGGGCCACCCTTTGGTGAGTTCTTTGTGATTGACATTAATTTTCTCAATGCGCATGAATATCCCTGTTCTATTAAAATAAAAATATGTGAACTGAAATGTAATAAACCTGTATCTCACAGGTCCCAGGTTCTCTGAATCAAGATTCCCAGGGGAGTTTCATCCTGATTATCCCGTAGATGAATTTGGGGAGTCCGGCTTTGGAGGCTACTCCTCCAGGGAAGACTTTTCTGACTCTGGTATGGATCGGGGAAATTTCATGGATAATATGGGTCGCGGTTCAGGTGGTGGAAGAGACAACTACAGAAGGAGTGGACTGCTGGATGAACGTCCAAACAAAATGTTTTCAGACGAGTACCAGGGCAACCGGATGGGTAGTAGCTTGATGGACAGACCAATGGACAGGCCGGGATTAATGGGGGCAGCTCCAGAATCTAGCAGCCTTCCCCATACTTTGCTCACATACCTGGTAGGTTTCTTACAATAGGTTTAAAGTCAGCATCTTTTTTTTTTTTAATATTCATATTTAGATTCAGAAAGTAATTTTACAAAATGTGTTTTTAGGATACTTTCAGGATAGAGAATGAGAGCGATGCCCAGCTGGTGCTGAAGGTGACGCAGAAACTAACAGATGTGCTGATGGAGTATCGACTCAGGAGTGTTTCAGGGGTAAGGTGTTTTGAGTTGTTGCTTCTTCTTTTTTTTAACAGCATCTAGCCTAGAAATAATTTTGAAACCAAACACTAAAGATCAGCCTTCAAACGTTATTTGGCGAGCTGAGTACTAAAGTTCTAATTTAATTTTAACTGTTTCAGCTGTGTGCACAAGGTTTCCTTTGCTCTGAAAGGATGAGCAAAACCAGATTTACTTTTTCAGATGTTTCACTTGTCCCTCAGGTTAAAACATTTATTTTGTGGCATCTGTTTCCTCCTCAGGGGCCCAACAGCTTATCATTGAGTTCCACAAACTTCTCTTCACCCCCTAGAATGCAAAGCAGTAGCAACCGATTCTCAGGTGGCCTCTCAGGTATACATGCACCTTCTCCCAGACTTTTTATGACAGATCCATGGCTCAAATATCAAGGACTGTTAAATGAAGGACTCCAAAGGAGTGTGTGAGGCATCATTCTTTGCTGTCCACTTATTAATAGTTTGCTTTTTTTTCAGGTCCATCCCGGTACAATGACGGTCCGCCCAGATATTACAAATAAGAGCTGCAACAAGTCTGTCTTCTCATCTTTCTGTCCTACATGCACAGGGGTCATTGTCCAGATGTTGATTTCATGTACTTTTGAAAAAAATATATATTTTCATGCACTGGGTTTTCAGTCTTTTGCTGTCCTTGTTTTAATTATGTTTATGTCTTCATAATATGGCAAGATTTATAACTTGGAAGGATTTACATGTCTGCTGTTGTATCCAGCAACTTTACCTGATCATTTTAGTTTAAGTTTCACAGCGATTAAAAGCTATTAATGGACATAAAGATATGTTTGTGGTTGATTTCATGTCCCCATCAAAGTATTTCCAGGTGCTGACGGATCCTCTAGGTTAGGAAGTTGTATTTGAGACCCTCCTTGTGCAGTATCGGACACAACTAGCTCGATTGGTTTCTTTTCATCTTGGGTGCAGGTTCTGACAGTTCCATCTTCCATCAAACAGGGATTTTTCCACTGGCAGTTGTATTTGATGAATAAATAAACCAACAAAGTATTTCAGGATTTATTTTAAACAGTACAAATGATTTATGAACAGGAAGCAGGTATTAGAAATGCAGAATCATGTTTCATGCAAGAGATGTTGCCACAAACAGAACTGGTCAAAAACTTGAACGAATAAATGAATGAATAAAGCTTTGAACAGTCTCGCACAGCTGTGTCCACATTAGAGCGCTGTCTAAAAATTGTCAAACTTATTTTGCCAAGATGTCCTCCATCTGCCTCATGGTAATGCACGTCAGAAGCACCTTCGTCCCCAGAAAGTCTTTCCCGTGGAGCCTCTGAGCCAGCGCAGCAAGCTTCTTTGACTTAAACTGAATCACGGCCTCACCGATGCCACTTCCCTCACTGTTGCGCAGTAACGCAATGTTGTCCTTCTTTATTTTGTACTTGCTGAAAAGGCTTTTGATTTGATCTTTCTGCACATCTGCCGGCATGTTTCTTATAAACAGGCAAGTCTTAGCTTCCAGGCCCATGTCCGCATCCAGTGACCCCTCAGAGGCATCAACTAGGCCAGATTTCCTCTTTAGATTTGGTTTCGTTCTTGGGTCTTTGGGCTTTAGATGATGCTTGAGACTTTTAAGATGCATTTTGCTCATCTTTTCTCTCATTGCCTCCTTCGTGATTGATGAGACCGTAATAGTATTGGAGCCTACGTGGCAGCCAGTGAGATTCATTGCATAGTCAAAATCTTCAGTTTGATTAAAAAGGAGAAAAGCAGTGTCTGTTCTGTTGCCTTCTTTGTCGAGCAGATGCAGTACATTTTTGTGTGGAATGGTTGCACATCCAAACAACTCTTTTATTTCAGTCTTGGTCATTGTTTTGGGCAGATTGCTTACCATAACAATGTACTCCACAGCTGGAGTTCCTGACTCACTGTCAACTTTTAGCTTTTTTGGTCCATTAGTTAGCAGCTGGTTGATGTACTTCCTCTTGGGGCGCAGTACAGAAGCAGATTTTTGCCTGTGGTTTACACTTTCTTTAAGAGGGTACTGGTGGCGTTCTTGTATCTCCTCAACATCAACGGCATCTTCACATTCCTGCAGCGCGCTATTCCATATCTTCTCACATGCTCCACGAACATCCACGCAGAAGGGGCCCAGTGATTGCTGGTTAAAGTTAAGAGCAGCACATGCATCCTGCATTGTAGCGAACTTCACAAGGCACCCATGGTTTAATCCCAACCTCACATTTACTATGGCTTCCTGTACAGTCAGCCCTCTGAAAAAATGGCAGATATCATCTTTTGTGGTTGAGGGTGGCAGACCAAAGAGCCTGACGTAGCCTGGCTGTGAGTTTAGAGTTTGCTCTGGTGTCCTCTCCTCTTTCCCTACAGCAGCAGGACTGTCTGCGATGATGACATCTCTTTGGTGGGTTGGCTGAAGACCTTGGAGAACAGTACAAATCCCAAGAAGAAAGGCTGCACTGGGATCAGGAGATTGTGCATCTGAAGTCTGTATATCTGCAGTACTGGGATTAACATTCTGTGCCTTCACAGATAGATTTGAACAAGCAGGACTAACTGGGTATGTAGAAGAAGGTGAAAGACTTGCAGTATTATCGCGAGGCCTCGTATTTGAACTCATGCGATTTACAGCTGCACGTGGTCGCAGTCTAACAGCATGGTGGGAGGCTTTCTTCTTCTCCTTTAAAATGGTCTTTAATCTATGCTCCAGCTCCTCCATCTTGCTTATGTGCAGAGTCACCTTAGAGCCTTTGAGTACATTTCCAGTCAGCCGCATGGCCAGCTGGGCCTCTCTTTCTGTGTTGAATGCAATAAAGGCCTCTTGGAGCCTTCCTCCCACAATGCACACTCCACCATCAGGAATTCGCACAGAGCCAAAGAAAGCCCGAATATCTTCAATACCCGCCTTGGCATCCAGACCTTTCAGTCGCAGGATTATGGTCATTTTGTTGCTACCAGGTCACCAAGTTATGAGATACCTTTAAAAACAAAAAAGAGGGAGAGAGAGAGAGAGAGAGAGGAAAACGGCTGAAATTAGCCAAAATATGGGCTGTGTGTTAGCATACAACCACGAAACGCACATTCAGTGAGAACACGTGTCCTGCTGGTGGAAAGCAAAAGAGAAGGCGCGGGAAAAATGAGGAAAAACACGTTTTCTTCTTTCCTTGAAATCCGAACAAATACTCACCACAGCTACTCACAACAGATACTCGTTAAAAGCTGGCATGGCAGGCGTTGTCACTGCTGTAAACCTGACTAAACTTTTAGTCGTGGATCCATGCTTAAAATCTCTTTTGTCCCGCCTCTCCCACTTAACCCCTTACCCCGTTGATTTTTTTATAGACTTACCGCCACCTGCTGGATGGGAGCGTAACTCCTGGGAGAACTGGTACATCACTGTACATCAAAAATAATCTGCATGACATTGCCCTCAGCTCTCTTTTTTCCAGTGTCCTCGTTGATTCAACACAATCATGTCCTGTGAGCCTAAACATATCCCCGTTTCTATGTGTGTGTTGTTTGTTTGTTTTTTTCAAATAAAATAAGAGCAAAAATGGTTTCAGCAAATTACTAAAGTGCAAATTATTAAATAAAATTAGTAATTTATCCATAAAAAGCTAGAAAAAAAACATACCTTGAGTGTTGGTTTCCTAAGCTAAGAATTGATCCGTCATGAATTTGAAAATGAGTAAGTTATTTACCTGAACTCTCTTTGTAAGGCTTGTGCATCTCCTATCTGCTCTCCTGTTTTAAAGCGTTTCACTTAAATCTTTAGATTTTTAAAATCTTACTTGATCACTAAGTGGTGCCGTCTCTCCTCCCCTGAGGTCTATGCCGATATATTAACATACGTACTTTGTGTAAGGAAGTGGAAATGCAAGATGCAGCTGCAGATTATGTTTCCTGTCAAAAGTCCCGTATGACTCACACATTAAAACCTAAACAAAAACAAGTAATAACTACTTTGCAATAGATGTATTTTCTAAAATCTTGCTCTTCTGAAAAGCTGGTTAGATCTTCAGCTTGTGTTTATCAGTACCTTAAGCAGGGAAGGTTTTCAATGTGCCTATTTGCTGTGAAAACACCCTTATTTATTTTATTTTAAACTACCCTCTGTGGTGGCCCCTTGTGAATAAAGGAGCAGATCAAAGTAACTTTATATTATTTAGAACAATGTAGGAGGCAGGTGTAAAAATTAAAGCTGAGTTTAAATACTTTGGGTTAACCATCCAAAGCAACAGACCGTGCACAAGAGAGGTAAAGAAGGGCGTCCAGACAGGGTGAAGTGGAGCAGCAAGTGTGAAAGGGGAAGTGGCAAGGTTTAGAAGACTGCAGTCAGACCTGCTATGATTTATTGTACTTACAAAAGACAGGAGACCAGAGCTAAAGGTATTAACGTTTTCACTGGGAGGGATCGGACTGGACAGAATTCGAAACATTTACATTTAATTATACATTTAAATAAAGTTACAATCAAATTAAAATAAAGTCACATCTTATATATGAAGAAAATCCACTTTATGAATTTCTAATGGAGCTAAACTAATGGTCAGATTAATACTAATTGATTTCCCCTAAAATAAAAAAAAGTATTTTATATAGAAATCGTTTAAATTGATTTAACTGTTTTATTTCAGGTAAAAAAATTTTTACTCATTTGCGTCATTACGTCATCACGTCGCATAAAGCACTGTGGGTAAAAAAGGGAAGAACGTTGTTTACCATGGCGACGGAGACGCTACAGTTTGTCGTTAACAGACACAAAGTGCCTGTAACGTTGTTTATTTTAATGTACATCGACGTCCTGCGGTGCCAGCCGTTCACCATCCCCTTCAGGACTCCATCAGACTGCGGCGCGGAGGAGTTTTTCGATATTTCGAGTTTGTCGTGTGTGAGGTGCGGTCCAAATCAGCGGCGGAGCACAACAGGTCGGTTAACCTCACCATCATCACACCGCATCACCGGAATCGAGCAAACGACGCCACTTTGAAAATAAAAGTGTCTTACCGTTAATCAAATAAAGTTTAAATCTAACCACAAAGAAGCCAAAGTAAGCTAGGGTGCTCGGTGCAAAAATAATGAGCTCAGGAGCTAGCACGCTGCTGAGATAAAGAGGTATGCACGGAGTCTGTTTGACGTTAAGTAAAGTTAGACGGCAGGTTTGAGCTGAAATGTAAGTAATGCTGAACAAAGCTGATCACATGCAAATAATATTACTTCAAACAAGAGCACAAAGCAGCCAGGTGCGCTTGGAGAGCACAGGAGGACACAAACACTGCTTTCAGAGGAGTCCTGCTTGCTGTAAGCCTTCTGACTTGTGATAAATTGATAATCTGAGAGGAAGCTAAATAGATGGCTCTTTTATAATTTATAATTCTCAAACTAATGACGGCTTCTAACATGAGCACTCCGTTTTCCCACAGTTACCGTTTGCTGTGTATTCTCAACTACTGTGGATTACGTTGATCATAAAGAAATCTTATTGCCAATTCAACCTTATTTTGTAACATATAGGTCTTCATTTTAGTTGTACTTCTTTTTCTTTCTTTCTTTTAGCTGCTCCCCTTAGGGGTCACCAAAGCAGATCATCTACCGCCATCTCACTGTGTCCCTGCATCCTCCTCTGTCACGCCAATCCTCTGCATGCCCTCTCCCATCAATAACCTCTGTGGTCTTCTTCTTTTCCTCTTACCCTGCGGCTCCACATTTGGCATTCTTTGTCAATTGTACCCACTATCCACCCTCTGTCCAAACCATCTCAGCTTTGCCTCACTAACATTGTCTCCAACATTTTAGGTTGTAATGAAACTGTCTTAAATAAAAGATCCTGTTGCACACTTAATCCTAGATCCCAGATGGGCATGCTTCAGAAAGTGCCTGTGCTCATCTAATGCTTTCCCCAAACTTTATGGGTGTATGATATATGTATATGTGGAAAAGGTGACCATCGTTGTTTTTGTTGTTGTTGTTGTTGTTTGTTTGTTTGTTTTTCTATTGTCAAATGGGAAAAGATGTAGTGATTAATTTTCTCTAGCCATTGCAGGAAACTAGAGGAAGAACAACCTTCCTAAGAGCCCTCTTTTATACTCATTTGTCAGGCACTTCACCTGCTCTCTCTCCTCCCATTTCCCCCTTCTTTCTCTCCTCTTACCAAGCATGGCTTGCTTCTTGAGGCCCATCCTATTGTTTCTCCCGTTCTCTCTGACCTCTCACCCACATAATTTAAGGCAAATTCAAGCTCACTTTATCACGATAGTTACATTTTCTTTTTTTCTATGTTGTACACGAACATGATTTCTCATTAGCTCAATTACATATGATATCATGACACTTCAACTGCTTTACTTCTTTTCAGCTCTGTCACATGTGAATATACCTTTTGTCTTCATGACTCTGTGTTTAGCAATTGCAACTTACTCAATATAATTCTTTTATTCAAAATCATGCATGATGGACCAGAGACTCACATTTCTGTCTTTTACACGCTGCCCGCTTAGTGCTCTCACTCACATAGAGAGAGACAAGGACACACCGTAGTTGTAACAATGTGCCCAGAATCTAGGCAAAAGTCAGGCATTAAAACCATTTTATTACTCAAACCACATTTTCTCATTCATCATATTGATCAGGTTTACTCTTGATTATGTTCTAGAAAGAATTAAGTAGCATTCCCTATTAGCAAAATTACATATGGATAAACTCTGTTTTAGCACTCTGTATCACTTTAACCATAGAAAGACTGGATGTTAAGTCCTTTTATTCCACTTTTGACGGTGTTTCTCAATCTTTCACAAAATAAAAATACTGCAGATAGGGCAAAAACAGAGTTTGTTCAATTCTAACCAGCTTGAAGGCCAATATTTATTATGATCACCTTTATTCTTTATCACACCGTGAACTTTCTTAGACCAACGTTCTTGTAATGTCTTAAGTACTTCAGGAAACGTTCTCCAGGCTTTGTCAAGATGAAGCAATGAGAAATGTTGAATGTTTTATTCCCTCCTTTTCCAAATCAGATACTGAAACCATTGAACCGAAAGTGTGAATCTTTTCCCACAAAGTGCCAGCAGCAGCAGCAGCAGCAGCAGCAGCATTATAGAGTCACCACATAAATCAAATGTAAGAAGGAAAAAGCATAACGGGTAGTGCTTTCACTTTATTACACGATTGCCCAACACTTTAGTTTAACAATAACAAAAGTAACTTAACCATGTAACTCCGGGAGCTGTACAATGTTATCATATACTAACATTTAAAAACTGAAGAAATATTTTCTACCTGTGTCAAGTTTGTAACCAGCTGCGAATCAGTGATTTCCGCCCGCCATTTGCTCTTCCTGTCATATGAAGTGAAGCTACCGAGTGCTACAGCACTTGGTTGAGTAATTTGTTTACTTTGCGTCACACATCTCCAGCTGCTCTTATCTCCTCCTCCTGTGCCGTCACACCCTCTATGTACTCATGCAGTGGTTTTTTTTGGGTTTTTTTTGCTTCCAGCTTTAGTGGGGACAGTTTTCTTGCCCGTTTTTGCAAAACATGGAGGTTTTTCTTAACTAAAAATCGTCATCGGTAGCTCACACGTGGCTCTCGCTTTCAGGCATGTCTGGGTTCGTCTCCCGTTATAGGCACCACAGAAAATAAATTAATGACATTGCTGTACCTGATGGTACTTCTCTGTGTTCCGAATTCCTTCAATTTTCACAAGATCTCTGACACCACTGACTGAAATACCATTTGGTGGGGTGGTTTTGTGATTGAATGATTCATATGTGAATCATCTTAAAATTGTTAGGTATAAGGGTTACACTGAGAAAAACTGAAGAACTATTGTTCAAGGCAGCTTTTAAAAAAACATTACAAGAAGATCTGGTTCCTTGGAAGCAAAATATAAAGAAATGGGGGTGCCTCAAGACTTTTGCACAGTACTTAAATTAACAGAGAACTAGACAGCAGATTATCTAGACTATGAAAACTGTCTGCTTTTAAAGGAATCCAGCATCAAGGACTTAGTTCTAACTTCTGATTCATACAGTGAGTGACGGGGTGGTTAGGGTTAATCTTTTCACACTCGAGTGTGTTTGCCCCTCCTTAACATCAGTGCAGTTACGCCATCCCTTTCAAAGCCAACAAACAGTGCAACAAATTGAAATAAGAATTTGCACATTTCTCCTCAATAATAATTTCTGATGTAGATTATCAGTTTGACACTCAGTAGTAAGTACTTGTAGTTAGGCTTAGGGTTATGACAAAATATGACAATCTGCTGCTCTGAATTGCTTTCATTTACTTAGCCAGGGGTAGTTTTTATGCTCCAAATGTCTGCTGGCACTTGTTTGCTGCTGATTGAAGAGCTACGCATGGATCAGTGTGGGTTTAGAAGGATACAGGATCAGTCTACTTAGGAGTGCTGGCAGTGAAAGTTGGATTCTCATTTCGTTGTAGTTTGACCTACAGATAGCATTAAACTTAGAGGGGAAGATAAATGTCATCCCCTTTTTTCATAAAAAAAAAAGAAAACTCAGTAGAGGATGTGTAGATCAAAGCTTGTGAAATCACATCCTGTATCCTGTGTATTTGCTCTTTATTCTGTTTGCAGAAACTGCAGAAGCAATTCCTTTAGAAAGAACAAAAAAAGCAACTAAACCTGCCAATCAAGAAGGATGTGTGCCTGTCATTGTTTTGTGACACATTGTGACAGGGCCACTTCCTCGCTTGGTCTTTACTTGTAAAAAAAAAAAACACGTATAAAATTCAGATCATTTTGCATGAACATAGTTCACCTTGAAGAGGAGACACGAGTATGTCCTCCGTCCTCCATCCACCATTTAGTTGGTTTGCTGGTTATTCTTTTGTTGCACCCTCTCTTTACATCTAGTATTTTTATTACTACTAGCAAAGAATGAGAGCCTGAGGTTTTAGAATCAGAAAACTTTACTGTCCATTTCAAAGCAGTAGAAGTTTGCCTTAAATGTGGCTCTCAGTGTATACGAGTAAAACGGCAAAAAAACAAAACAAAATACAGCATAAACACCACATAAAAACACTGTTAAAACATTGTTTAAAACATTTTGGAGGGGTTGTCATTGCATTAATATCTCTGAGCTGAAAGCTACGCGACATATCCAGTGTTCCCTCAAAGTTTAAATTGGGTTTCTTACTGTTTTCAGGACTGAGCTGTGTCTGCCAGAGTGGATACAAAACTGTTACCACTGATAAAGCGTCCATTTCTTGTGAGAAATGTCTCCCAAACAAACCGGTACATATAGTCTTTCACTTTTTTTCCTTTTTTTTTTTTTTAAACTTCATGTAAGATAGTTTGTATCTTAGGTTATGTGAGCTCTTACAGTGTTCTCTGTTTTTATTTACAGGGCGTCACAAAAGATGGGTTTGGTTGTATTCGCTGTCCAGGCGGCCTCAGTAATGATGGAAAGTGCCAGTGCCCCCCTGGTGATGTCCTGGGTGAGTCACTGGTAATAGGAATGCAGTACACAGTGGTACAGTGGTTGGTACTGTCATAGAAGAAGGTACTGGGTTTGAATCTGCCGTCCAGCTGGGGACCTTTCTGTGTGGAGTTTGTGTGTTCTTTGCTTATGCAAGCTCTCTCTAGCTTCATCGCACAGCCCGAAGACATGAAATGTGAATGTGCATGGTTGTCTGTGACCCTGTGTTGGCAACCTGTGCAGAGGGAATCTCCCTCTCAAACTAATAAGCAGTTGATAAATTGAATCAAAACCGTAATAATTGTGCAGTTGCTGCATGAAAGGTTGTTTTTGTTTTTCAGTGGAAAGAGATCTCAATGGAACCCTCTTGGAAGAGGCCAGGTGTGAAACATGCGATGAAGACAGTCCTGCTTTGTCGGTACCAAACAGGAATGGAGACAGGTATTTTGTCTGAATAAAATCTGCATATTTGAAGAGATTAATTAAGTACAGTCTCGTTTCGTTCAGAGACTGTACTTTGAACGAAACAGATGATTTCACTGTTCCACTGTGGCACAGAAAGGCAGCATTAGAGATTTTAAAATGTCCAATATTGATCCCAAAAAGATGATTCTGTTTATCTGGATGTAGCGTTCTTTTTGTATGCACAGACATTTTTTTTACTCCTGCTAGTTCTGTCTGAGTTGTAGTAAAGTCTGCCTTGACTGCAGATCTTGTTTGTATGGTATGTGAGAAATGGAGTGATACCTAAAATTGCCTTTTAGGTGTGAGAGATGTCTGGCTGCCTACGTTAATACCTCTTGTGCATGTAAATCTCCTAACGTCCCGGTGAGTCCAGACAATCTTGACCCTTTTGACATCTTAAATATCCCACATCATTAAATTAAGAGGCTCTAGGATTTCATCTGTGATTGTTTTGTAATTTATTTTTTTCTCTCTCCCCAGGGAGGAGGTTTATGTTTCCCTCCTAGTATCATCTCCACCAATGTCAATCCCACTGTCACTTATTCTCAGTTGGTGAGTCTCCTTCTCTCTGATTTCTTGGTAAATTTTTTTTGATGTTTTTTTTTTTCTTTCTTTCTTTGTCTTTTTTAAAAAAACAACAACTCTGATCTGTTTTTCCCCTTGCAGAAGTTCAGTGTCCAGTCAGCCTGGTTCCTGGAAAACCTCTTCTCCTCTTCCTCAGCTTGCCTTGTAAATCCAAGACCTTATGTATTTTATAAGTAATTCTTTATCTAAAATCATGGGAAGCAAGTTTAAGTCACATTCCAATATTGTCATAAACAATGTCCCTACTATGTCACTTGTCACAAGTCATTAGATTTTTTTAAAGCCAACCCCTGAGGTGGCTTTTAAAATATGTGTAATGTGCTTTGTTACGAGTGCTGTGTGCCAGTATTATTCTGATGTATTTAGCAGTGCTGTGTAAACAAGTCGTGTTCCTACAGGGCTTCTCCAACCTGACAGCGTGTCAGGCTCTTGGAAACATGTGTGTGATGAACATGCACTCTTTCAGCAGTGCATCTACAGATGCCTGTGCACTCTTCAACAACATCTTCAGAACCATGGCTGCTTTGAGCTCAACCCAAGGCATTTCTTACTGGTAATCATGTATAAATTATGCGACCTTTCTGTAAACGTGAATGAATCCTGTTGTAGTTTACCCTGAGTGAATGCTCACAACTCTTCAGGAGAGCTAATCTGCCGTGGCTTTATTACGGGGATGAACCAGGACTTGCCAGTCGTGTGCTTCAGACTGATCCTGTTCCAATTGGATTTAGCTTCAGAGGTAAAAACAAGGTAAGTACCTGACTTTAAGCCTCTTTACATTAAAACAGAAAAGTAATAAAAATAACTGTGAGAGAAAATGATAGCAGTACATAAACATTTCTTGGCACCTTAGAGATGTAAAATTAAAAAGCTAAATGTTCTTTTAAATGACATTTTTGTTGTGTGTGATTTTTGTCAGAACACAGACTTTAGACTGCTTGCTGCTGTCTACAATGTCAGAGGAGAGTTTCTCAGATGGGAACAAGTAGGAGGACAAAATCTGCAGGTAAAACCCTTTGAATACTACTCTACAGCACAGCCCCTTAGAAAATTAGACTTATTTGCAGAGGCTGCTTAAGAGCCAAATGAGTACAGTGAACTCACTGTACTCAAATGGCCTCCACAATCACCAGATATCAATCCAGTAGAGCGCTTTTGGGATGTGGTGGAACCAGAGATTCACATCGTGTATTATCAGCCAATAAATTTGCAGCAACTGTGCGATGCTGTCATGTCAATATGGACCAAAATCTCTGCGGGATGATTCCAGCACCTTGTCAAATCTGTGCCGTGAAGAATTAAGACTGTTTAAAGTGTCCAGTGAATGTAAATTGTAATTGTAAATTGGGACATTTTGTGAGTTTATTACTAATAAGAAAACAAAACCGTGAATATTCCCCTTTTTCCCTTTTAATGTTAGTTTTTGTTTATCTGTAAAGATGTCTAATTGTATTGCAGATTATTGTCTTGCGATGTATCGAGTGTAACAGAATCACTGTGTCATGATGTTATCCTTTATATGAAGTATTCCGATAGTTTTGTTGACTTATTCTGTGATTCTTGCCTAACTAAAAGAGTTGGAGTTTTTCCGTGTTAAGCATGTTGTCTTCTTCCTCTCCTCGCTCTTTTAGCTTTGTCCACAGCCAAAAACCAAACGGGCAGCAGCCTTCAGCTTTGGGACAGCTTACAAAGAAAGTGTGAGTTTCTTTTATTTCACTTGACTCAGAGAAAGAATACAAACTCTCTAAAATGCTGAGTGGTAATATAAGCTGTCTGTGTGTGCGCAGTGTGTTCTCTCAGTAGCACAGCTGTTTGCCACCCACCCCGAACCATTGTTCTATGACGTCTTCCTGGACCTCGGTGGAGGAGAAAACACAAAACTTCTACCCCTGCCCACACTGATCCAGAACCAGCAATACAATGGACGATTCATCAACCAAGGTTGGATTTATATAGACTGTTGTGAAAAAGCATTTGCCCCCCACAAACACTTACATGTTTCCAATAATCATACAAAAAATAACCAAATAAAGGAAGACAGAGTAAGTACAAAATGTACAAAGTACAAAGTTTTTAAATGATGGTTTATTAAAGGGGAAAAAAGCTATCCAACCTTACCTGGCACTGTGTCAGAATTATTTTGTGTTTACTCAGGTTCTCTTCTTCTGATTAAAATTTGTTTGATGACCTGAAAAGTGTGACAAATATGCAACCAAAAAATAAGAAGGAGGGGGGTAAATACTTTTTCACAGCTACAGTGGGGCAAAAAAGTATTTAGTCAGCCACCGATTGTGCAAGTTCCCCCACTTAAAATGATGACAGAGGTCAGTAATTTGCACCAGAGG